GACAGGGACAGGGACAGGGACAGGGAGAGAGTACACACTATCCTAACAGACTACAAACATTAGCCCTACAGTCAGATTGCACTTCAGGTTGGCAACCAGTTTCAAAAACCCCTGCCTTTTAGAAAAGTTACCATTAAGTCCTCCTAAAGGAAGGAAAAATGCAAAATGTATACACAGCTTTGGGGGGAGGGGGGAGGAGGTACTCATACACACACAGGAAGAATCTCTGGGGAGCACCCAACACGGGGCAGGCCCCTGTCCTACTGGTAGAATGCTACCACTACTACATCCTGCTGCACCTCACAGCCGCACCATCACCAAGTAACAGCTAGTGGAAGGACCTACAGCCCAACCTTAGCCTTTTCAAGCGGTATTTGTTCTCTATCTACCATCGCAGCAAAAAGCTCACCGTTTCCTAACAGCCTTCTACAGAATGTCCTAGGAGGGCAGTATCGGGAAAAGGTCTAAGTCTATGGGCCATGAGTCCTGATGGGACTGGGGGAAACGTACACTCAACACTTGGACTCAAACTTACCCCCTTTGTCCCCCATTTCGGTTGCCAACATCCATACTCGCTGCTGATTGCCAGCTCCTGCTCCTTGCAGCAGCCCAGCATGCTCTCTGCTGGGGCCCAAATACCCTCCCCCAAACCCCGCTCGCTTCTGGAACTGCTCTAGAGGGGTAAGGCAAGTCCCGTATCTTGCTTTCTCTGTGCGTGTACTCGTTACTGTTAAAAACACATGTGATACAGCACATTCCTAAAGGGGCTCCGGGGAGGGGTCGTGTCCCTATTTCGTTGCCTGTGGGATATAAAATACTGGCGGCTTTTAAAAACGGGATTCTCCTTACCCCTACAGGCCCTCTCCCGGCGTCAGAAAGATGTTGTGGCGGCTGAGACGCCACCGGCAGAGAGCATGCTGGGGGCTCACACAAAGCAGGAGTTGGAGATCTGCAACAGGCCTGGGAGTTGTGGACCTAAAAGAGAAAACAGTTTTAAGTTAACGTGCCCAATGCCCCTCATGCCCTGGTTATCAGGGGCACTCAGCACACAAGTAGGTCTCTGCAAAACTCCTTTCGCAGACAGTCTCTAACGTCTCAGAGAATTTGTTCGAGGGCTGGATTAGTCAAAGCTGTCTCCTAACTCCAATGCAAGTACCCATGGGAGCCTCCTGGCTCATGTTTTAATTTAAGTCCTGTCACAAAGAGTATGGTGTGTGCCCCTCAAAATAACCAAGGTAAGATGTGACAAAATGCCAAGGCACAGTAACATTTGCATGCTTTGCTTTTAATAATAATTTTTGAAAAAAAATCAGCGGAGTCAGATAAACACAATAGTGGACAAACTGAGCTTTCAGAAGAGTTTCTACATGTGAAATGCTAAAAATACAAGATGTGGGCATATTATAGAAGTATTCGAGCCATCAAAGGAGCCAAAGAAAGACCCTGTCACTTTCTGGAAGTCCTTACTTTAATTTTGTAAAGCCAAGGGCAAGATAAATAGAAGCTTTAAAGCAGAGAAAAGAAGACTGCATTCAAGTAAGTTAATTTCCTCCGAATGCCCACGAGTGAGGATAGTGAACAAGCAGAGCAAGAAGGTGAAGACAGTCATTTTCTTCTTGCAGGGGCAGAAACAGTCTAGTATGTACCACTTTTTTTTAAAATAAACTTTGAAATCATTTAAGACCAGTAGAAAAAGACTGGACAGCAACTTCTGAAAGCCAGCACGGTCCTTGTTAAGTATCAGTACAGACACTTTAAATAATAGTCAAACATGTTCCCTTTCAAATATAGCGGGCACATAACATTTTTTAAAAAACTAAGCAATTCCATTTAATGTAGCATTAAATGGACTTTAAAAAGCTATAAAATATACTTTCTTATAGATGAGAACCTCTGCTCTTCAAGTTGTTTTAAAATTACAGATAAGCAAACTTTTTATTATTAAATCCTTACTAAGATATCTTGTTACATATAATTCTCTTTGGGAAACATTCTCTAACAATTTCTCTAACCCAAATTTCAATGAAATCCATCAACTACTCATTTTTGTATATCGCTTTTAACACATCCCACGACAAAACAAAAAACAAGCTAATACTAGGAATGCCTTTATCATGATCACTTTCTTCTCCTTTCTCCAAAAGTCAGTCACCTCAATGACAACAGGGGTAGTAGTCAGACTCCCCCTCCGCCCCCTGCCAGCTCGTCAAATTTAACTGCACCTTCCAGTACAGTCAATATTTCTCAACATAACATGAAAACAAAGCAAATCTCTGGTTGATCTCTTATATCTGCAATTCAATTAACCAGAATTCCAATCTCCAATTCAGATTTCAAGTTGGTTCTTGATACATGCATACATATATACATACAGATTAGAAATTTCCAGTTCTAAGGAATCAAGTTTGAACACAATTTCACCAATATTTTCCCACAGGTCTCTACAAACACAGCATTATCTCAACTTTATGCTCTTTGAAAATAAATTAGAATAGCTAGTTTTCTACACTGGAAAAAAATTCACAGTAAATTTAGCGAATTACATCTTTAGGTAAATTATATTTTATGCAATATATATATATATATATATAGTTAAACAAAATTTCTTCAATGATCTCTTACAGTCCTAAAATCCAATTAAATTAGAAGAAAATGAATTACCCGACTTCACAGTAATTATGCCCCATTAAAACTTTAGGTCCCAGTGGCCTCTCCTGCCTACCAGCCAAGACTGAAATCACACTGATAAGTAACAGAGGAAATGGGCCAAATAAGATGTTCTGAGACTGTTCACTCCCAGCATCTCATTGTGAGCCCCTCTTCCAGGAATGCTTCTATCCACTTCTGATTGGACAGTCACATCATGCAGAGGGACACAAGGACTGCAATCTCTTTTCCTTCACTGTTCCATAACTGAGGAGAGGAGGTGAGAGGCATGGTGTCCAACAACAACCTCACCCTTCCATCTACCCACCCCAAAGCTAAGCAATTTCTCTCTACCTCCTCTCTTCCTGAATTAAATAAGATTATCAACTTCAAATTTACATATGTGAGGGGCATCTAGTCCTTGCTCACAGCACTATGAAATTGAAAACCAAGTGCCCTATGTACTTCTTTTTACAACACTGACATGAGCAAAGCTGACCTTTATTTTAAGCCAAGAAAAAAAAAGAGGTAGCTTCAGGAAGAACACTCACTCCAATTCAGTAATAAATATCATGTTTTGCCTTGGGAACTGTATATTGAAGTCTATCAATATGTACAATTATTATTCATTGCCTCAAAATAAAACAAGGGGGGTAATGTTTAGGAATATAATCATGCTGATACATTCACTTCTGACAGGTGAGAGCACTAAGCTAACAGAAAAGACCATTTCTTTGAAAAAATTATTTCAGCTGTGTGTTCCATCATCTCTGCAAGGAACACTGAAGGCCACGCTCTAAAATCTAGAAACATTTCGTGCACATTTTAAGGCTTGTGCGTCATTACTCACACTACACACATCACAAAGCTGTAAATGGATGGCACAAGTCTTCTTATAGAGTGCATCCAAACAAGTAAAGAGAAGAAGGGATGACAGACACTCGGTTTTGTGAGGAACACCTTGAGGGCCGTCAGAAAGTAGGCCGAACCACGTCTTTCCTGTTCACACAAAATGGAGTCACGACATCCACAGACTTTTGTCATCAGGGCAGGCTTTTCTGGGATGTTCACATATAAACGAAGCCCCTGTTACCTTTGTTAAAAGTCAGCTATATAGAAATTTCAAACCAAAATACACTGGCACCTAAAAAATATGACTTTGGTGACATTCATTTAAGATCTATTTTTTAAAAAAAGAAATACCTTAAAAGGAAGTTTTATTATTGAAAAACATAAAATACTGCACACTGCAAGCTATCAAGAGATTAAGATGCAAATGAACAGTCTTTCTGGAATTACTAGACACAAAGCTAATTATTTGTAGTCAATGAATGTCATTTTATCAAACAACTACTACTGATGCAAACTTTTTTTCCACTGAAGTATTAACCTTCAGTCACTATTCAATATTATGGTCAGGTAATGGGCTGAGCACACAGGGTTCATCAGTGAACAAAACACAAAAGGTATCTGTCTTTACAATAAAGCATAGATAAATCTAGAAAAGCAACTATGCGTTATTAACACAATCACTAGCGTTCTATGGGCAGATCTTGTGCTGCAAAACTTGTGGGCTGCACCAATTTTGCAGCAAAACTTGTGGGCTGTACCAATTTTTCTAAAAACATCCCGACTGCACAGGTAAAGCAAAGTTAAAAGTTAAAAGCTTCCTACCCAAAGTCCTAAAAGACAACAACTGAGGTAAGGGGACAGGAACCCAGACAAACCGAGGTCAAATCCCAACTCTGAACCTGCGCAATCTACCACCCCTCATCTTAATTCCAGAACAACATATCCCAGATTGTGAACTACTTATGTTCAAATTAATTCAGAGTCGTTCTCTGATCCCATCATACCAACAAAGGGTTTAATACAAGATTTTTTCTGCTATTAAAATGAATAACCATTTTCTAAATGTGCACAAACCACACTTTCAGTGCTGCATGGTCACAAAAGCCATGCTCGAATGAACATCGTGGCATACAATGCATAAATCTGATCAATTCACTGTGTGAACCCAGAGTGCATGCTAATGAAGTCTCTATCTGGAGACATAATTTTGCCTACATATCTGACAAAAATGAGAAAAAAAGTGTAATTATATATCCTCAGTAAGTTTTCATTTTAAATAATAAAACCAGCTTCATATTGCTTTCAATCCACTTCTGAGAAAGTAAATACATGGAGAGAGGGCATTTTCAATGACAAGTGAACCTAAGCTGAAGACAATCTCTCTGTAGCCCCTCCTCTGTTGCACTGTCAGGGAACACAGCAGTAAAAGCTGATGGATGGCAATCCATCAGCTTTGGAGTAAGGTAAGAGACATTTCAAAATGTTTCCCCCTACTTGATCGCATATGTCCGTGAAATATAGTAAGGAATATGGTATTCAATCATACCATAATAACAGTATGGAATAACTTGGCCCCACACATATTCATGGCAGAACTGATCAGGAATGTCTTCCCCAAGTTGAGCTAGTGAGGTGTCATCTTTAGCTATTCCACACTCACAATCAGCCACAAGAATGAAGGCTTTTAATCTTTGTTTTTTATTTTCTTTTTGTCTTGCTTGTTAGTTTATCTGTCTTCAGGAGGACGGGGGGGGGCACAGAAATAGAGGGACAAAGGGTAAACAAATGCAGCAGTGGTACTCACTAAACACTATGTGGAAAATAAACTATACAACTTGTGGGTGGATGGGAGGGAAAAACTAGGAGACAGCAAGGGAAGGGGTGAATTATCCAGAAAGAAACAGACTCATTACCTGAGTTATGTAACTGTAACCCTCTATACATCACTTTTACAATAACAATAAAAAAATTTTTAAAAAAGAGTGACTGCTGTTTAGAAAATGGAGGACACACCACACTCCTGTCTGTGTGTCCAACAAAAACCATGTTGTCATCAATTCTCAAATCTAAGGAAGTTCTAGACTAGGTTTAAGGATGATTTGCCTGGTTTAAAGATGCTTTATTTATTTTTTGTTGGTCCTGGGGCTTGAATTCAGGGCCTGGGTACTATCCTCGAGATTTTTGTCCCATCCCAGCCCCTTCCTCCCCGTTCACATGCCCCAGTTCAAGGTTAGCACTCTACCACTTCCAGTCACAGCACTACTTCTGGTTTTCTGGTAGTTAATTGGAGGGATAAGAGTCTCATAGATTTTTCCTGCCCAGGCTGACTTTGAACCAATCTTCAGATCTCAGCCTCCTGAGTAACTAGGATTACAGGCCCGGGCCTGTAATAAAACAAATCAATAGCATGGAAAATTGTATTTGTAATAATTACCCTTTCTGGAAACTTATTTGAGGTTAACACTTGAAAATAACTCCAGAAAACCAAAACTATACTTCTTTTCATAGCATGATGAAATTTGGGAATGCACACAGCATTTTCAGGCAGAAGATTAAAATAATGGTTTGATTACTGACCTATGAATAAAGAGCTAGGTAGAAGTACTACAAGGAACAGTCAAACTGAAACAAAATTACTCACTTATGATATTTTGCTAGCATTATCTAACTCCATTTTTATTTCTAGAAACCAATTGTGTCAATGGAATGTTTTTTTTAAGTGAAAGCAAGAAAGAAAATTTCCTTTCAGAACAAAAAAAGAAAATGAATGTCCTTCTCAATTGAATTGTACAATTCAAATGGTACAATTTGAATCTCAGGTTACTAAAGAACCTCAGATTACAATATTTAGTACTTTTTCAGTCCCCTGAAGATTTTTAATAAATACTAGTCAGAGGTATTTATCATGACCTATTTGCATTCTGGTATAAAATATTCCTTGATGATCCGGACTCAGGAAGAAAACCCTCAAAGCAAACTAAGTCTCATGCTGACCTAGAAAACCTTTGGGGGAACCAGGGCAGCAAAAGATTCTTTCAGTCACCAGTTGCCATTATTGGAGAACCCTCAATCTAGCCCAGTCACACTGAGAGGGAGCAAGAGGATAATGGAAGAAAGCTGTGGAGAGAAGCTTGAGGAGCTCAGGCCACAGGGGAAGGGGGGGGGGGGGAGCGCGGAATCAGCGGGAGGTCTCACTGCTTTCCAAAGCTCCCACCCACGCTGTCAGCCCGCCCAGGCCTGTGCCAACCTTGCTAACTTCCCCAGTTGCTCAGCTTCCCAACTCCAAATAATTAAAAAGAAATCTTTAGTAATTAATTAATAGGTTCCAGCCAGGCAACAGAAGATCACGATTGCAAATGCACACTACTACTGCTTCAAAGGACTAAAGAAAGAATTTTACCAGGCACTTTATTATTTCTCAGACAAAAACCTATGGTACAACACAGGCTTACTTAATTGTTGCTCCTCTTTCCTGCTTCTAAGTAAGCATGTTCTGCCCATGCCACCTCTCCTGCTCACTTCAGCCCCAATTTGGATTACTTCTTCCTTAAATAATCTTGGGTCAAGAGAGTCACAACCAAAACTAAATCTCCCCTAGTTTGGGAACAAGCCAATCAAATGAGTACTTCCTACGATAACAAATGCTTTCTAATAAAATGCATAATTCATTTCCCTTGAAAATGCTACCTTTGCAAGCCTCAGCAAGGTTAGGAACTTAATTATCCTACACTGTCACAGCCTCCAGCCGTTTTCACTCCCGTGAAGTCTATATTAAAAATATGCCTGTCAGTGTGAGGTGGCACGGTTCTGTGTTTTGTTTTTATTTCTTTTTTTTTGGGGGGGGGCGGGGTTCCGGTCATGGAGCCTGAACTCTGGGCCTGGGCACTGTCCCTCAGCTCTTCAGCTCAAGGCTAGCACTCTACCTCTTGAGCCACAGCACCAGTTCCAGCTTTTTCTGCTTATGTGGTGCTGAGGAATCAAACCCAGGGCCTCATGCATGCAAGGCAAGCACTCTACCACTGAGCCACGTTCCCAGACCCTGGTCTTACGTTCTTATGCTTAAACATTAAAGCAGAAGTCAGGCAGACAAGATGACTACATAACCTATCATCCGAATTGGGATATTTTGAGAGGGAAGGAAAGCTATCTAAATAGTCTGACAGGCCCAAAGACATCAATCAGGACATAAGACAGCCAAGTCCTATGGGATGGACTCAGACTCTAGGTAAATGTAGGAGCAGGACCTATAAGACAACCAAGATCCACAGAAAACCCAAAGACTCTTCTTATCTCATCGGGAATTAAATGCTACCCAGAGGCCTCAGAGTTCAATAAATTGACATTATGCTATTCCCTATGACTGGTAGAAAACTTTCCCTCATTCCCACTTCTTGTCATTAAGCTTTTATCATCTTTAACATTGTTCATCTTACCTTAGACCCTAGACACTGTAATATGTACTATAATAAAGAACATTCATAGATTAGGTTTTTTTATCAGTCCCAAAACAGTCCCTTGAACTCAAAATTTATGATTTATGATTAATACTTATTTTTCTATGTAAGCAAAGAAACACATTTCTCAGTTACAACCCTAAACCAACTTTTTGTTTCATTATAGCTAAAAAGATAAAACAAATTCTGTCAATATTTCAAAGCTATTCATTTTTTGTTTTCATTTTATATTGTTCCAGTTTGCCACATTTTGCTATGGGCAAAAGCAACTCCAATCTCTTCTTTTTAAAATCTTGAAGATAAAGTTATTTCCTTCTGCTCTTTTTCCTTTTAGCTTGGATAAAATGGAAAGGGGAAACAAACAAAATCTTGATTATTCTCATCTATTCAGTTAACTATACAGAACCAAGAAAAGCAGAAAGTTGGGAAAAACTACATTTCTTCAGGAGAAAACATTTCATCACCTCCATTATCCTTATATAACAACTACTGTTATGAACATGATAAACACAGAACCTCAAATACGTAAGAAACAGCAGTATGTGATTTTACGAAGGTCTCCAAACATATCACACCCTACTTCCCACTTGTTTTTGCAGATGCTTTAATGTGTTGTACCATACCAATACTGACAACAGAAGCTTCTGCTTTTATTGCTGTTAATACCCAAAGCAATTACTGTAACTCAGCAGGAACCTTTGCCCAGAACAGCAACTATCACACTGCAATCAGCATTTCATAAAAGACGCTGTTCAAACATGAAGGCACCTGCTAATGTGAAGAAAAAAACATTGTACAAAGAGGCTCACAATCTAATAGGCAAAAGAAAAATCTCTGCAATATTATTTCAGAGCTATTTTCCACGGGACAGTGGCATTTGTGTTAGTAAAATTCACACACACAGATAACAAGCAGGGGAGAGCAGTAGCAACAGCTACTACCAAAATAAAACTCTTTGCAAAACAAAGCCACCTCCCAAAAATTTCATTACCAGTGCAGTTTCTGTTAAAAAAAAAAAAGTTCATAATAAAGAGCAAAGAACTCTAAAAAAGGTAAAATCTCATATTAGCATGAAAACTGAATATAAAGCAGATGATTAAATTGCAAGATTCCCTTGCAAAATAGCCACAAAAGGTATAAGCAGCCTATTAAGAATAACTAAAACTAAGAAGTAAAGGCACAACAGATTCCTTGTCCTATATTCCTTTCTTTATTCTAAAGTATCATGTAAACTGCTTATCAGAATACAAATAGTTACGTAACAAAGAATTATATTCATTTCTTTACTCTAAAGTATCATGTAAACTGCTTATCAGAATACAAATAGTTACATAACAAAGAATTTGGAAATGAGCTTACCCACAGATACTGAAACACATTCTCTACAAAGCTAAAATTAGGATTTTTCTATACCTAAGCTATAGATAGGTAGACAGTGGTTCACAACCTTTTTAAGTAAAAGGATCTCATTCCAAGATGGAAATGTTCCAAAAGATTTTCAAATGCTACTACTCCAATAGCATTTTCCACAATCCGTTACTTGTAGAAAATATGCAAGTCTTTTTTGTTTTTCTTTTTTAGTATTAGGAATTAGACTCAGGGCCCCACACATGCTACCCAAGTGCTCTACCAACTTTTCTTTGTAATTTTTGGTTTGTTTTTGAGATAGGGTGTAACTTTACCCAATCTGTCTTGAACTCAAATCAACAGATCTCAAGAGTCCTGGAGTAGCTAGGATTACACCGGTATGAGCCACCAGCACCCAGCTTTCTTAATTCCTTAAAAAACATCACAATGGTGTATCGAAATGTTTGTAAAATATTTGTTTAGATGTGTGTATAGCATATCTACGTACCTAAGACTAAGGGTCTTTACTTGTGCAAAATCTTTACAAACATCCCGAGATCCCCAAAACCAAAGTGTGGGAACCACTGGTCAAAATCCGAACGATGTGATACTAGGCATCAACACAGACGTACTACCCAGAACATGTTCTCAGTGAGGAAGTATGTCATATCCATACAGACTTCCTCCTTCCAACCGCTATCTCTAAGAGATCCTAGAAAGAAGTTTGAGGTATATCAAAGAAAATAACATTTTCCTCAAGAAACTAGTTACTCTACTTCCCACTGATTGGTTTGTAAATTTGCTTCAGATTCTTAACAATGGCTGAGAAGAAACAAACTACTTCACAGCATAGAGCAATCTCTGAAATTGTCAGAACCACTACTAAAGGAATAAATACTTCAGAAACACTGCTTACTACACAAAGCATTACCAGTGAGTGTCACAACACTAAGGAGATGAACTATCAGATGCCTTATTTCAGCACTGATGGTGGCCCATAGCATGCAAGCAACATGGGAAACAAAATCAAGTCAGCCAAAGGAGCTGGAAACAGAGATGGTCCAGAGCAGAACAAACAGCAGGTTAAAAATGCTTACCAGTTTGAAGTCTTGGATGCTACAGATGAAATACGGTGTGTTTGGCCTCCGACTCTCGATATACACACAGTCTTTAAAAGAAAAAGAAAATTTAAAACAATGGCATGTACTGTTAAGGAAAAAAGACAAGGCCCATAAAGCCACTGCATAAATAAATGACTAAAATTACAAATCATATACCTTTTAAGAAATCTTACCAATGGTGATATTAAATTATAAATAAAATTAAGCTAAAAGCAAACAGCCTTTGATAATTTAAAGAACCTAGAAGTCTCAATTATTTGGAGGAAGGAAAAGGGTAGGATCGCCATTAAGACGACCCATATTCAGATGAAGAAATTTAGCTAAATGAATTACTTGGTTAAAATGAGTAATCAGAATCTGGAAGTGTGGCTCAAGCACCTACCTCGCTGGCCCTAAATTCAAACCCCAACACACATACACACTACGCGCGGGCAGGCAGGCACACACACACAAACGGGCATGCAAGCAGGCGGGCACAGTTGGGCATAGTGATAAACATCTATAATCTTAGTGCTTAGGAGTCTGAGACAGGCTGTAGTAAATAGAAGATCAGCTGGATCTATGTAGCAAAACTTTGTTTTTAAAGAAAAATAGGAAGTGACGCTGTGGTTCGAGCAGCAGAGCGCTCGCCTTGAGCTGAAGAGCGCAGGGACAGCAAGGTAGAGGGGCTGGAGCTGGACATGTGGCTCAGTGGCTGAACTTGCCTTATAGGCTTAAGGCCCTGGTTTCAAGCATCACCAAAAGAAAGAAAAAAAGGAAAAGAAAATAAATTAAAAGAAAATAATGATACATTAAGGTCATAAATAAGTTTTTTGAGGTAGATGCTCTGTGCTTTCACCAAGAGCAATGGCAGACTGGTTTGACCATGCAGGCACCTTACTATGGAATGAAAATGCATCTACTCCACTTAGGGTTATTTACTATTAAATATTAACCTACATACATTTTATTTTCTAATTGTACAAAAAATAAACAACAGGGCTGGGAAGGTGGCTCAGTGGTAGAGCATTTGGCTTACATGCATGAGGCCCTGGGTTCGATTCCTCAGCACCACATAAGCAGGAAAAAAAAAGCCAGAAGTGGCGCTGTGGCTCAAGTGGTAGAGCGCTAGCCTTGAGCTGAAGAGCTGAGGGACAGCGCCCAGGCCCAGAGTTCAGGCCCACGACTGGACAAATAAATAACAAAACAAACAGCCAATAGGAGATGGGATAAAATAAACCAAATTACTTTTTTTCCCCAAGGAAGAGGAGCACTTTTTAAATTGCATTTGCTATTACAATGGTTGAGCAATTCAATTGTTTCATGCTTTCAACAGCTGGAGTCTAAAAGATTGCTTTTTTGGAAAGCAATGATTGTATGGAAAACAGTGTCTATGGGAAGGTAAAGACCCTCAACATTACAACTGAAAGTCATGATAAATCTTAGGACAGGGAAGTCTAACTGTTACTAAGAAATAAAGGCATTCACTGTCCATCAAGTCTAGCAGGAAGGATCTCAATGCCCACATTGAAAATAGCGTTTGTATTTTCCTTTCTTCTGACCCTTCTGTGTGAGTGTATCTTCAAAATAAGCCATGTTTTTACAACAGGGGCAAATTCTTCTCTGGCTTCATTTGTCACATATATTAAGACCACTAAAGAAGAAAAATGGAGCAGCAATTTGTCATACCTCCAGTGGACAGTCTGGCTCTCCCGGAAGTACTAGCAAACCCACTGAAGTTTAGACCATTGTCAAAGCCCTTCTTAAAAGGCATATTCTTCCAGGAAACTTCTGCAGGAACTTAAGACCTCTCTACTCAAAACCCATTTCAGAAAAAGAAGAAATATGAAGATGAGCTAGGCATCAGAATTTCCCATCTAATTTCTGGGGTTTATACTCAACAGCTCTTCACTCCGAGTCCACACATATCAAAAGTGTAGCAGTGACAGAGCTGTCTGTCTTGTTCCAGGGCCTTAATGCTGCTTCAACATTCAAGCAACATCCATTTAACAATTCAATCATCTTCAGCTACAATCTAAAGACCTCTTGCCCATCACAGCAGATACTTCTCTTCATAACCTGAGAAAAAAAAAGAGAAATCAACACACACACACACACACACACACACAACCCTGTAACTCCAACTTGCATAATTTGTTTTGGTTGTGGTGGGGCTTGAACTCAGGGCCTGGGCACTGTCTCTGAGCTTTTTTTGCTCAAGGCTAGCATTCTACCACTTTGAACCACAGTGCCACTTCCTGCACAATTTTTATTAGTATGTGTGCCTGTCCTGGGGCTTGAACTCAGGGAGCTGTCCCCAAGCTTCTTTTGTTCAAGGCTAGCACTCTACCACCTTGAACCACAGTGCCACTTCTGGCTTTTTCTGAATAGTTTGTTGGAGATAAAAGTCTCATGGGCTTTCCTATGCCTGCTGGCTTCGAACCAAAATCCTCAGATCTCAGCCTCCCAAGCAGTGAGGATTACAACCATGAACCATCAGCACCTGGCTAACTTGCACAATTTTTTTTTTTGGTCGGTCGTGGGGCTTGAACTCTGGGCCTGGGTGCTGTCCTTCAGCTCTTCAGCTCAAGGTGAGCACTCTACCACTTGAGCTACAGCGCCACTTCCGGTTTTCTGGTGGTTTATTGGAGATAGGAGTCTCACGGTCTCTCCTGCCTGGGCTGGCTTTGAACTGCGATCCTCAGATCTCAGCCTCCTGAGTAGCTAGTATTACAGGCGTGAGCCACTGGCGCCCGGCTCTTGCACAATTTTTTAAGACCTGATGTTCTTAATTTCTGAGTCCCTATTGTACCCATTGCTAATATTTCAAATGACTTAAAGTCAATTATATACTAATCTCATTCACCCTGACCACAAGTTGTAGGTCTATATGTGTTCTTTTGCCCAGCACATATATATGGGATTTCACAGTTTGGGATAGGTAGCAGGTGGGGAGTGGGTGGCACTTTCTCAGTTCAAGTGACAAGAAACTTGCTGCACTGAATGCCCACAGCTATACACCCTCCTCCCCTAGGCCGCATTCTCCAAAACACCAACTACTCCTCTGCTGTCTGCCAAGTCCAGTCTTGTACACTATCAGTTTCTGGTCATATGATGTTTATAACTAATCATATGTCAGCACCAGAGGAAATAAATTTTGAGAATTTATTCTCTTCACAAAGAAACTACAACACCTCCTCTTATATAAAACATTAGCAATTCACATCCCACTTGCTCAGTTATTAGCAGTCAGATGGTCTGCACTGGCTGCATTACCATCAGTCTTGAGAGCTCAGACAAATGACTCCCTTCTCTATCCCTTACATCTACCAAGGATTAATGTCTGGCATTAGTGTAGGTAAAATGAGATGTAACTAAGTTAAATAATAAACGATAAGGAGGAGATACAGCTTTATTCTTTTTTCACAGAAAAATGCTTTTATGTATTTTTCCATATCCAACAGGATCATTTTTACTACAAACAGACATAAAGAAACTATTGACTAGTATATGAAAAACCTTTCCAGAAAATGATGAGAAAACCTATGTTCTTTCATGTCTTACTGCAAAGTTACACTCAGGAAAATAATGACCCATACAACAGTTATACTAGGGTATAACTGTTAAGAGCAGACAGGAACATGCTGGCAGGGCAAGGGCAGTGGCTGGGATCTCTTCTCAGAAGCCTGAGGAAGGAGGGCAGGGCAGGTCTCAAGCTCGGCTGACCCCCAGATGGCTCACTAATGCCCTATTCTTACATAAAAAGCTTTCTGTTGTAAAATGACTGTCTCAAGACTCACACTGTTATCCTATTTACTCAAGAGGCTGAGACCTGAGGATCAAAGTTCCTTGGCTCACACTTGTAATCTTAGTGACTCAGAAGACTGCAATTCCAAGCCAGTTCAGGCAAGAAAGACCATGACAGAAGAAAAAAAAAAAAAAAAAGTGGAGCTGTGGCTCAAGTGGAAACCATGAAATCCAAAACAATTCAGGCTGGTACTGCAGAACAAGTAGCTGTGTCAAGTGATCACTAACAGTATTGTTAACTTTGCCCCTCAAGGCTAGAGCTCCTCTACTTGAGCCACACTTTCACTCCCAGGTTTTTGGAGGTTAGTTAGAGATAAGAGTCTCATTAACTTTCCTGCTCTGGTTGGCTTTGAACCTCAATTCTCAGATCTCAGCCTCCTGAGTAGTCAGGATTACAACTGTGAGCCACCCTGATTCATTCTTTAAACAAATACCTTAAAAATTACCATAGAGTCAATTTTTTCTTTATAAATATCCTACAAAATTTAGAGAAATCCAACAGAGAATACATTCTAAGAAATAATTTGCAATTCAAATTTCACAGAAAGAAAATTCTTTTTATTATTCATACTGTTTTGTCAAAACAAGGTTAAATTAAGGCCAAATGGTCATATCACAAGTATTTTCCCCTTGCCTGGATTAATCAAGCAACTATTTAAGAAAATAACTTATATAAATGTTTATTGTTAGCACAAAAATAAAATGGCTTATTTGGAAAGGGAAAGCTATGAACGTAAGTTGAGAGCAACGTTAAAATCTCAATTGGAATGTATGCCCAGTTGTCTGTCTAATGCCAAAATCATTTGGCAAGAATTTATGTAATTTATGACTGACTGTATTGTCTAAAAGCTGGTTATAGAATTGGTTTTAGTCAGCTGGACCACTGATTTTCCCCACAGTCAACACAAGCACTGAGACACCTTTTGTTGTTGTTATTGTAACTAAACAAAGCAAGCGTTTTCTTTGTGAGATAGCTAGCAGTCCTGAAAGAATCAAGCAAAGCTGATGCAATCCATTAGATGCATAATGCACGTTTTCAAAATTACTCACGTGAAAACACATATTTACCAGACTAAGCAAATAGTTGCCATAGGGCAAATATACATTTTTTTAATCTTAAAATCAGCATGCCTGAAATGGGCCAGAAAAATGAATGAGGCCATTACCATCAGTATCAATTATTCCAAACAACACATGATAAGTAATTTTCCTCTTTACTAGAGACGTCTGGAAATGAAACCATGGATATATGCTGAGATTT